ACCCAGGACAACACACCCAGATGCCACCCTCTGAAATTCAGCGTGGCCCTTTGAAATACCCCGAAATGAGGTCACCAAACTACTTATCAAACGCAAGGAAACAAATGTAGTCACAGTGTTTTCCAACCAGCATCAAAAGTCCCTGACCTAGTTTAGCGGCTTGATTTAAAAAATGCAAAGGACCACTGGGATTGTGTTGATGAAAGGAGCCTAGCATGGCCAGACTCTTGCAGGATGGGCCCAATGAGTGCCTAAACACCCGAGAACATCCGGGTTTTGAGGCCGCCCCGTCCCGCAAAGCCCTTAAGCCACCTCGGTAGACTCAAGGCCCCTCTTGGAAAATGCCAGCTCTCAGCCTTCACTTGGTTTTTTGTCTCTGGAAAAGTAACAGAGCAATTCTTGTGTTGCGAAGAACTCAGAATATTTCTGGCACTTGGGATTCCTATTTGAAATGTCTGGGCTTATCTTGTGAACCACTTGGAGGTGGTTGATTCCTCTCCCACGCAAAGTTTAAAACCAACTGCCTGGCGGTGGCAGTCAGGGCTGAAGAACTCGCTTGGCTTCAGGCTCGCTGTCATCTACCAGATCCCTGCTAAACTCTTCATTTGACCCTCTCTTCTTTTAATGATTTCCATGTCCAGCCAGTCAAGGCAGCCTTTGTTCTGCAATCCTGCAGTCCGTTAGCTGCTCCTGCTCAGGGAGCTCCTGTTGCACAGCTGTGCCGATGGTCTTAAACTCGTTCCAGTGAAGTTGCATGTTTTTGCTTGAATCTTAAACTGAACAGCACAGCCATAGGGCCCAAGAAAATGCGTACAGCTTCAAGTGTAATTGGAGAAAAATGCGTGCGCTATATATGAGGATGCACCTTGCCTTCCCCTCCCCTGCTCCTTTTCAAAACTCTAGATCTGCCCGTGCCCCTCACTATGCCACCAGCACGACACCCTTGCAAGGCTCTCACAACACCCCGGTGGAGAATCGCTAGCTTTCTCTGAAACCAAGCCATAGCTGGTATCTACATCCAATGTTAGAAATCTACCAAGTGATTGCAGTAGCTGCTTTTAGAGCAAATGGTCAGTACATGGAGCTGGTGCATGCCTGACACACTTTCCACCTGGGTGCACAAATAGCATCTCTGGGTGCCTGTTTTTTTTATAAAGAAATTAGCTTAAAAAAGAAATGCTGCCTCCCTGATCCCCCTGGCGCGGGAGGCTAATTGACAGTTGCGGGGAGCTGCTGGAGACGGAGTGATCCAGGGAGGACGGATGTGTGGCTGTTGCACCAAAGGGGAAATGCAGCGGTCGGTGCTGGAGTCAGCCTCTCAGCACAGTGAAATTGGCTCATCGAGGGCCTCATACAAGCCTCTTTGGCTGCAATGGGATGTCCTTGTATTGACTTCTGTCAGCACAAGACTTCCAAACCCCTTCCGTCTGATCCCTCTGCATGGCTTTCATATGAGCACCAGATTTTTCCACCCATACAACAGCTTCATGGCCCCAATCCTGGCACTAGCGCCGGGTTTGCCGTTCCATTCTCACTGGTTTCAACCCAGTTCAATACAACCAGCCGGCAAGCTGCTCTACTTTTCCCCCAGCAGAGACCAGCCCTGTCGCCAAAGCAACCCCTCCCCCATGGAGTCCTAAGAAGTTTCCAGGATTGAGCCCCAAATTGTTGCCATAATTTCTCCTCCTCAACTCATTCAGCTGTCATTTTTCTCCCAGGGGAAAGTAAAAAAAGTAATGTAGATGTCCATGGAAATGTCCATCTCCAGAGCACGCCAAGAGTGCCACCTCCAAGCAGTTTGACAGACCAGCTAAGCAAACGTCCCCAGGCTCACTTACAGCCCTAACGAACAAATGCCAAACAGAAGGGCACAGAGCCCCTTGCTATCAGCTGGTGTGTCCAGAACAACACGGCCCCGCTTGCCCCGTGCTTTGGGGGGCGCGCATCAGCTCACGCGCTCGCAGACCAGATGCTGGCCGCAACCCTTCGATTCGAGGAGGATCTGCACCACGGCTCGACGGTGGGTCCGGAGACGACTCGAGAGCCCAGTCCTTGGGCCGGCACACGGCCTGGCACCGGGCTCTGAAGCTGCCGCCAGCCCAGGCGGGGGCCGCTCGGGGCTGCAGGGACGCACACACGGCGCAACCCCCCCGGATCTCCAGACCCTCCTGCTTAGGCCCCAGCCCCCCTCAGGGAATCCCAGCTGTTACTCTTCTCTCATTTCCTGGCTACACAGAAACAGGCCTTTTCTTGAAGAGCTGAGAAAGGCCCCGGGCGGGACGGTGGTACCGCCGCGGCTTCCCGTCTGGCAGCCCCGGGCCGCGCCCCCGCAAGCACCGCGCAGCGCCCACTAGGCAGCCGCCCGGCCGGAGAGCGGCTTTAGCGGCGCCTCGGGCTGAGCGAGCT